GCCCCGCGATGATCATTACCTTCTGACGTGGACGTGGTTGGCTTCCAACTTCGCCGTCCCTTGTTAAGCAGAGAATCCTTCTTTGTTACTTGTAACATCTATATGGATTGCCATTTTAAAGTGAAATACCTTATTACCAATTCTAGAGCCTTGCTTTCCGGTTAGCGACCCTACTGGTTAAGTCTGGTTGCTGTCGCGAGTCAAGCAACCATGTTCTAGAGTACTTATGACATCGATAATGGAGCATTCCAGCCATTGGTTAAAATAAAGCAAAGACCTACACAATTATGCATCCTGTAACGCGCACAGACCGGTCAGGAGGAAGGCAAAGACTCCGATTTGACAGCGCTAGTTCTGGGCCGCCTGGGTACATCATCAAGCTTTCTATTGCGGCGCTTCACCGATCGCATTCATCGCACCGGTCACGATCGCTTTAATTGACCTGAATAGAACAGAAGAGATGATCGAGGGCTGATGGTAATAATTAGTGTGATACCTCAACTCTTTACAGATTGTGCGTATGGGAGTAGGCACGAAACTCCTATGGGACGAAGATAGATCACGAGACCAACTGTCCATTGACAGCCAATTAGAGACCAAAGACAGAAGAATAGGTCTCACTAGTTAATTCTTACTACTTATCTATCGTTATCGTCATTGATTTGGTGTAGGATACATAGTATATTGTCTCTTCTTATCATACCTTCTAGGTCTCACAAAGCTCAGTAGCGCCATCACTTGTACTGCGGCATACAACAAGTAACATCAGTGTGTCAGCGAATCGTGAATGTCCTTCCGACATCAGCTACGAAATAGAATTTCACTAGCTTTACGTCGCTTAACTTGGTGCTGCTGGGCGCATGCCCATCGGCCCCTGAGTGACAAGGAATTGCTTTTTGTATGGCTTGCACGGTCTGAGCTGAACATTTGACGCTAGCAAGTGTTCACAGCTCCCCCTGTAGTATTAAATCCTCCAGAGGGTCCCACTTTTGACAAGCAATCAAGGAACTACATATCCTTACCCATTTCACGGCTGTTCAGTGGATATGACTACTCTTTCTTCGGCAAATGTGGGGCATCTTACCAACGGGTATCGGCATCGGACGGTTATTGCAATATCCGTATGTTTTCCGCTAGCAGTACTTGCTGTAATTCTTCGATTCGCGGCGCGAAAGATATCTAGGGCCGGGATATGGTACGATGACTGGCTCGCCTGCGTCGGGTTGGTATGCTAGAACAAGGCCCCTTTCTCTTGATACTTGACTAATACAATGTCTCGTTAAGGTTGTAGTCGGTGTGTTCGTTTCTCTTATCCTTGTGGGTAAGGATTACATATCAAAATGCGCTATCTGTATGAACTGATGTCGATACAGATCTCCCAGATGATAATGCCATTCGAGGCGAACCCATCCCAGAGAGCACGCTCCTTGCAAACGCAAAAACAGTTTACGTCGCCGAGCTATTCTATTACATATCCCAATTATGTTTGAAATCGTCTATACTGGTGTTCTACTGGAGGCTGTTCAATTTATCTTCAATACGTATTCCAATATACCTCACTGCTGGCTATATTGTGACATGGTTCGTCACATCGGTAGGTTTTTCCTTGTTTCTACCTGTTTGGCACACACACACCAACTTCGAGTTTTCTAGAATAGGTGTAATTTTAGCTCAATATATACAAATCCATCCCAAGAAAT